GAACGTTAGAGGACTCAGGTAAGAAAAGACGAGTGGCATGGATGAAGGGTATCATGGGAGGAGAGAGAAACCCTTGGCTCTGTTCAGAGGGAGAACAAGGATTAGGTAAGAGCACTTGATGTGTATGTTGGGATTGGCTGCTGTGAAGGAAATAAAGGCAGGAAAACTGGCTTTTTGTAAGTGTGAGGGAGTTCCTGGGCGGTTTTGCCACCCCATCTCTCTGTGCCAAGGGTAATATTTGTCCCTATGTTTTCCCCAGGAGCTTGCTGGAGAAGGCGGGCCAGCGGGACTCCGAGGTGCTGAAGGTGTGCCGTGGTGTGGAGCAGGCTCTCCACACTCTGCCGTGCTCCTGGGCCCGTGTGGAGCCCCATGCCTGGACCCACGCCGAGGAGCTGCCCAAGGTTGTTCGCGGATGCATCTTTCAGGAGCAAACCCGCCCGCTGTGGATCGAGGAGGGTGACGACTGAGTTGTGGGGGTACCAGAGTGGGTACTGCCAATTACTGTCCCCAAGAGCTGTTCTTGGAGGTCCCTGCCTCCCTGAGCCCCTCCAGGTAGCGTGTTCTTCCTCCCCAAGGGGATGCTGGCAGCAAAGGCCCTCAAGGTAGCCTTTCTGGTCCCCTTGAGGACAACCAAGAGTTGGGAAGTAACACGTACTGCCTCCCCCATCTGAGCTTTCTATATTTTACTGGAGAGGTGTCTTCTGCTGTCACGGTGGAAACCACCCTCCTGGGCTGCTCCCCATTACCTTGGGCTGCCCTTGTCTCTGGTACGTCGTCAGATTGACAGATAAGGAACGCAGAGGAAATGTGTGGGATCAGGCTGCGTAGGAGCATCTCTCACACACATTTCAAGCCCTTCTCCCATCACCACCCACTCTCCTGCCCTGTGGCACTGTGTGCTCTGGGTCCCCTCTTCCCCTGTCTACCTCACCTCTGGCCCCAGGGCACAGGGAGCATGGCTTATATGCCTATGCCCCGCTGCGGCTGGAGCGACACTAAGATTGCAACAAACCCTTGTTTTATAGGAGCTGTACTCTTTATTGCTTGTAAATTATTAATGGAGCCTTTTATTGGCAAACCGTGTGTAAAGGAGAATTAAATACCATTCATAATGGGAATGGGTGGCAGGCTCTGGGCTTGTGTGTTACTGGGAAGGTATGGTTGATGCACAGCGGGATATTTTTCTTCTCCATGAGGCCAGCCCTTCAGGGGAAGGAAGGGAGCACTGACTTTGCTGTGGCAGGGCAGCAAGAGGTGTGGGTAGAGGGCAGGCTAAGTGTGCCACAGACCAAGTCCCCCCTCTTTTCTACTTGCCCCCTAGTATTCAGTCCCTTGCCTTTCCCCAGTGCTGACGTTGGCCAGGTTACTTTAGGAAAGTCAGGGAAAAGCTCACTTGATGTGTCTGGCTGAGTCCCTAGAGGTTCACATCCCTCCATGCCCTGATTAGCGTGAAGTGACGAGCCAGTTACCTCATCCTCCTAGGGGACAACAGGGAGACTGAGCCCAGCCAGGCTGCTAGGAGAAGGGGGGATGGTGCCCCTGAAAGGTGTTTCTCACCTTAACATGGGGCCAAGAGTGGGTTCAGACTCTGGCAGAGGGAAGATGGAGGGTTTAGGTATCCGCAGCAGTGCTCACCTATGGTTCTGACTCCTGACCAAGTGCCATTATCATACCCACTGTGGGAAAGGGGTGCCAGGATACCCATGCCATGGAGAGGTGGTGGTAGGTGGTCTTTCCTGAGGCATACAAGAAAACAAAGAAACCTGTGGCTCTGTGAGACTGTGGGGCGCGTGGTCAGGCAGAGAGCTGGGTCCACTGATTCTGAAATTGATGGGAGAAGATGGGCAACCTGCACCAGAGTCAAGTCCTCTCTGTGTCCTCCTTGCCCCTGTGATTTGGCACTGCTAGTGCCATGCACTTTTGAAGCTCTGAGCAAAGATTAACTTGCTGATCTTCACGAGTCCCCTGTGAGGTGTTATTTCAGGCTCTAAACCAGTTGCCTGTGTCTTTTATGAGGACGACAGTGAAGGGGGGAGGAAAGAAAACGAAGATTTTAACTTGCAGTCACTAAAATGTAGAGCAAAATCCTAGGTCTGCCCTGGAGCCATGCAACTCTCCTTTCAGGGAAGGGGGAACTGGCATACAAATAGCTCCAGATGAAAGCTCCCAAGTGACACCCACTCCGGGGGATGCAGCCTCAGCATCCCAGCACAGCCAGCCCCCTGGGAGGGTGCTTGCCCTGCAGGCAAACAAAGTGGGACTCTTGTTTGAGCTGATGAGAAGACAAGTCCCAAAACAAGCTCTCCTCCATCCTGTGATGGGTTTGGAGATTAGAATTTGCAACTTTGCAGGAAAAAAAGTAGCGCTTGAGTATCCAGGGAAAACACTCTGTCTGTATGAGGCACCCTGACTCGGGGCTTGAAAATTCCAACTGCCCTTGCTGTCACTGAGAGCCAGCCCTAGCCCTACGGCCTAGGCTGAAGGTGGTAAAAAGCCAGCCCTCCTCTTTTGGGCAGTCAGGCCGTGCTCCAGCTTAGCACTTGCTGGCCCCCAAAGAAACACATCCCCTAGCACCACCCTGGGCCATCAGCTGCAGTGAAAGGGAGGCAAAAGAAGGTTGCTGGGAGGCAGGTTGGCCCTGCCCAGGTAGCTGAGCAGCAGGAGGCACTGCCTTGCCTGCTTCCAGGCTTCTTCTAGGCTCTCTCTTTATCCAATTTGTCTTCCCTGAGGCTTTCAAAATCCAGCTTTAATTTGTTCTGGACACGGGTGAGAAGCGGGGCAGAGGGCTCCAAGGCAAACATAAATGCCCTCCCACTGCCCTGCACACCCCAGCCCACCTTTTTGTACCTCTGGGAGGTGGCTGCCTGCTTGGAGGAATGAGTCACGGGTTAGGTAACAGGCAGAATGCAATTAGCAGCCCTGGGCACCAATTACCTGCTGTAACAGCCTTGTGCAAGCCCCTGTAAAGAGTCACCAAGAACAATATTTTTCCCTCCAGGGAGGGGATTGGCATGGCAGCTTGTCTGTCACCCTGGGAAGTCACCAGCCCTGTCCATGCTGGCCCCCTGCCCCAGCATAGCTTCCTGGCACCGTGCTCTGTACAAGGTAGCTTTGAATTATATTTGTAACATCTTTTGGGGACATCACTAAGGCTCCTCTGCCTCTGTCCCACCTCTCCCTCCCAGATGATCTCCTAAACCAGGCTGGGAAGTGCTGCAGGATGCCTGGGAGCCGTGGAAGCTGCCTTTACAACTGCCTGGGGCTGCTGGA